GTTTCATCCCGGGGTTGCTGAAACAATCGAAGAGTGTAGGTAGTGACACCGGTATCCGGAAGGACTGTATTGTTGGGTCGGTCACTACCTCTCACACCAACAGAGCGGGCAGTAGAGAGTGGTAAGTGGTGGAGAGGGGGAAAATATAAGAAAGAACCACGGACGGGTTGGAGAAAGGGGAGAAGGAAAGAAAAAGGGTTAAAAAAAAAACATGTCTCTGCAAGAACCAGCAGGCAACACGATTTTCACGACTCGGGGAGAAATAACAGTTGTGGAAGGGAAAAAAAAACACACAGGCGGGAAGAGAAGAAGGAAGAAAAAGAGGTAAGAAAAGAAGAAGAAGAAGAGGAGAAGAGGAGAAAGAAAAAATAAAAGAGTAAAAGTAAAAGTAAAAGTAAAACTAAAAGAGCAATTAAGGAAAAAGAAGAGAGAGAAGAAAAAAGAAAGTCCCCAGGCCCGGATATTGTTTTTAGTAGAGCGTCGAGATTAAAAGAAAACCTACTCCCTCGGTCTCTGGTTGCCAGTTCCTCCCTAATCATTATTTCACCACCACTACTACAAAGTCAAGTCGAGAACTGTCGCAATCCATTAAATGGGGATAATCAAATATAAAAGATTCAATTTCTCTTACTCCAATGGTGCTGCTCTACAAGGTAAACTTATTTACTAGTCGACTCGGGATGTCAAGATCAAGTCTCCTGGGGGAGGCCCTGTAACAGTCAGTTAGTCGATACATCGATGGGGGTGGTCAGTCAGTCGGGTCTTGGTTCTTTCTGCCTAGAAAAACACCCTAGTTCTGTCTGTGAGTGAAGTTAATCGATTGTATGACCAATCCTTTCGGCCTTCACCACCATAACCCCCGAAGACCGTTCACATCCTCGCTGCTCCGTACCTAGTACCTACCTACCTAAGCTCTTGAGGTCGATACAATTTGAATTCACTGCTATGGACACCCAACCAATGGCGATCAACCTGCCCATGCAGACTGACCGACTGTCAGAAAAAAATAAAAAAAAAAAAACTGTTGAATTGCCAAAAAAAAAGATTTAAGTTACGGAAGCCATCGTACTTCTGTCCCACGGGGACTTTCCACGGACGCGGATAAACCTGACTGACGCCTTACTGCCTGCCTGCTTATCCGACTCGAGAATATCATTTCCCTACCGAATTAAAAGCGCACAATGTCGATATAGAATGTCGGATTCGTCCAGACAGACCATATGACTGTTATCGAATACTGCAGTGTAAGGTATCGAAATGAAAGGTATTGATTGAAGTTAAGAGAGAGAAAGAAAGAAAGAGCAAAAGACAGTCGGCATCAGCCAATGGACAAGCTACCCGGATCCACCGCCCGCCGGTCTCGCTTCCGAGTAGGTACTCTTCCATTATCCATGGTCAAATGGTAGAACTAGACTAGTTCCATTACTGTTGCAATTCCATTAGCGACTTCATGCATTGAGATAACTTCCTTCCGGGTCTTTCACAATTCCCTGTAGGAATAAAGGGTCCCTTTGAATATATTCTTGATTGGGGCATACCCTTGATCCTGTATCACATACTCGCTGGCTACAGCATCAGTGCCAGCGAGCGGTACACTCCAAGTATACGTGTAACCATCCTGAGACTGAGTCGCTTCACCGATAGAGGTCCACGTCCAATCCGCATTGACTTTGCTAGTGTCGTCCCAAGCGCCACTGTACTTGTAAAGGCCGGAGTAAAAGTCGTTCCCTTCAACAAGGTAGTTGACAACCTCATGCCACGCGACACCTTGGGCGTCCACGCCTGGCACCTGAATTGGCCACCCGTGAACTCCGCCATGACTGGGTTGGTTGATGCCAATGAAAAGTCGCACGAACGCGTATGGAACTAAGACATCGGCTGTGTAGGTCACGGTCTGACCATTTTGTTCGAAGCCCACATTGGCGATGGCACCCTCCTCCGGGAGGCTTTTCGTGCTCGCTGTGATTGTCCGGGGGCTACCTCCACTGTTCGACGATAAGATTGACCGTACCTCGAAGGTGATGCCAGAGGTTCCTGGCTCGAGCATGCCAACCGTAGCCTGGGTCAATGAAGGTGGCACTTCTAGAATCTGTGCACCGTTCTTGTACACCGCGTAGCCAAGAGCATCTGGAACTGATGACCAGATGAGGGTAACGGAGCTATAGTCGGAAGAAGAGACAATCACGTCGCTCGGAAGGCCAGCAACGTAGGAGTTGGTGGCTTCGGCAGGGTCATCAATTAGAGGCGTACCACCCGGAACAGCCCCGATGACTGCTTGCATGTAAGCCTCGTCGGGTAGATTATCGTAGGGATTGGGTTGATCATCATTGGTAATTTCTAGCAAACCTGCATTGCGGCTCGAAGCAAGGGCAGCAACCCTTGTAATCTGACTCTGTGGTACCTTGTAGATGATGTGCCATATCTTTCGCGGATCCTTTGGCGTCCAATCATTACGTACAAACGAGTTCGTATAAGTCTCATAGCTGCTCTCAAATGTCAACAGCGTATCCATAGTGTCTTCAAAGCATTGAGCAATTGGGGAGCCAGGATTGAGGACTGTGTATGCGCCAGGGTGTTTTCGCTTTGTATAATTATTGATGTATGCGTATAGATCTGCGTAGATATTATTGGGGCCGCATTCTGGCCAGCCTTCATCGAAGAATATACCGCCGAGACTGGTACCGTATAGCTCATACCACTTGTCGATATCTTGTTCAATTTGTGAAGCCCAGTCTGCGAGGTCATGCGAGCCTAGTCGGGTCGTGAACTGTTGTTGACTTACGCCCAGATAGCCCGTGCGAACATAGCCAAGGATCCTTTTACCCTGGCTAGCGGCTTGGTCGATCACCGATTTCCAGGAGTCATCGATCACATAGTCCGGACCGTTCAGGACATTTGCAACCATTACAGTGACCTTCTTGGTGTCGTATGCGAGGAGTCGTTGCCACGAAGCTGGGTCTGCGAGAGGGTTGATGTATGAGGCAATAGCAATCTGCTGGCCTCCATCACCAGCCGCTCCAGCCGCCCCTCTGTTGTTCGCAATGGCGGCAAAGAGCTCCTCGGCGTGCGTAGCATACGCCGTTGCCTTGGGATGAAACGTGCGCATGTACTGGAGCGGCACTAGATTCTGGGCGTTGGCATCGTCACCGGCAGCGTCGTGGAGGGCATCCAGCAGTGACTGCCAGTCCGGGTACTTCTCAGCGCCCTCCCATTCCCACGGTGGCGTGCTGTTGACAGACTCTGCTGTAGGAACCACCTTGCCCTGGCCGGGGAACATGAAATCAAGCAGGCCCTGCGCAAGGTCGACGCGGTCCGTTGACGCAGCGTTGCTGGGGTCGCCAGGGCCTTCAGACGGGGTGTTGATGTGGTTGTTTGGCGACCAGAACCACACACTGTATTCCGTCATGTCCCGGGAGGCCCCTGATTCACAGTAGCGATGGCCATTGTAAGCGTCCTGGATTCCTTCCACATATATGACGCCCATTGCCTTGAGATCTTCAGCTGCCGCTTTGATGGCCGCGTTGACCTGGCGGACCTTGTCATTCAGCTGCTGGCGGAGCTCCAGAGTGAGTTTAGGCTGCTCACTCCACCAACCTGGCCAGATTGACCAGGTATAATCGTTACATTCGGGACCCATGCCGAAGAAGGTAACATACTCGAGAACAAACACCTGAAAGCTTTCACGAGGCTCGGAACCACCGGCCTGCCTTCCTGCATGTGCTACTTGGTATAGGGCCAAGTTGACTTTATCCTTAAAGCTCCCGCTGTCAAGTTCGTCTTGAAGTTTATCGAGAGTGCTCTGGCAGTCGCCTGCCTTATAGGCTTTGTATATGCAATCGTTCAATATACTGTTCTCCAGCGAAGTCAGTAAGTAAACATATAGTGTACAGTGTGCCATAGGGAGGGAGAGGAGGGATGCTCACGTAGAGAGCATCGCGTCGTTGCCTCCAATAGTCATCAGAGCAATTTGCGGTTTTCCAAAGGGCTGGTTGCGTGGCTGATCGTCGCCTTCTTGGTAGTCTCCCTGCTTCAGCTGATAGGCCACTAATTCTTCTACCTTGTCGCCAGTATAGGCGTGGAAGCTAAAACGCGGTAGAACGTCGTCGTTGTTGATAAAGGCCCAATTATCTATATCCTGAGCCATTTGCCTGGGGTACGCACGTTGCCCACGAATGGCATCGCCACCTAGTTTTTCATCTATTCCATTGCAACCGGTACCTGCGGTGTATGAATCACCAACGGCGATGAATTCCAGGATCTTTTGGGTGGGTCGTATGTAGGGCACGAACGAGGGACCGGCCAATTCAGCAGATATCGACTGCGCGGCAGCCGAGTAATCGATGACTTGGGCCAAGACACCGGGAACGGCAAACAGTCCCCAAAGGTGAAGAGAGTATCTCAGACGCATGGTGTTCTGATCAATGCGGATAGAAAGAAAAGATCAGATACTTGTAGACTACGGGAACAGTACAGGGCAACAGTACAATAATTTATAGTAGAATTCCTCCACATATATTAAGAATTTTATCCACTATACTCCTAGAACTCAACGTGTCTTATAAATGTCTAAGCATAACGTAAATTCATCTCGACATACTTGAAGGCGCCCGATATCGGATTCTACGATTAGTATACAGGCTATAGATTGGACTAAGGTTGAATGTAACGGTTCAAGCAGTCCTGGTGTGTAAGGGATTTTATCTAGAAAGGAAGTCAGACACCGTTAATCAATAATCCTACTAGAGATCCACTTCAAAGACATAGATAAATTAATACCTACCATTTTAGAATCTCCGGAAGACTTTTGGTGGGAACGTCCTCTTAGTAGTGCTGGACTAGATCGATGAAAACCTGTCATCGTCGCCCTTGCCAAGGACTATTTCAGCTCACAGTACATGTTTAGCAATTACACGCGATGTCACGTCCAATAGAGGAAGACCCTAATTGACAGCCACCGGGCCACAGAGCTACTTGGGGAAGATTGGAATCGAATGCACTATCCAACCTCTATAGAATAAATTCTGCGACTAACACATCCAATCTCTGACATGTTTAATTAAAAGGTCTTCTCGCAGCTTCCAAATATCCTAGTTTAGCCTCCCCTCTAACCATTGTGTCAATTTCATGGCAAACAGGCACGTATTGTTTGTATCTCCAGCTCGCGCATCTACCTTAAAAGTCCACATTCCAGTTCTTAAAAACATTGTAAGAAATTGGAAATCTAGTAAAATCTCACTGCAGTCGCTACTGGGCATATAGTCAACCTGAACCCCATAGGTATCACGAATAGTAAGATGAGCTAGATTATTAAAGGGTGTAGTCTTTAATGGTCCCATAATAGAGTCTTCGTTATCGTGGCTACCATCCGGGTAGACAACAGAGGCGCTTATTTTTAGGGTTGCATTAATAAGAGCCTCGTCGGGAAGTGCCAGCTCCTTCTTCTTAGACTCGGGTAAACAACCGCGGAGGTAGACGAAGAAGACACGGTCACTTTATCCGGCTATTAGTATTAAGGAATAATGAGAAGAGAAACAAAGGGGGGCGGGGGGGTGAAGGGTGGGCCTCACGCGATAATAGGAGTCGGAGCGATCTCAAGGAACTCGATCTTGAATATCTGTTCATTTTCAGGCACGGTGTCGTAGGTGGCATCATTGTGGCCCGGGACTTGGTTGTCCAGTTGGGCCATCGTATACTGTGTAGGGTCGGTCTTGGCAAGAGTTGCGAGTGCAGCGGTGCAAGTACAAAGAGACAGGGTTTGTAGGAGAATTGATTTCATCGTGTCGTGGCGTTGAGACAGCTTAGGACGAAATAGCAACAAGGGACGAGAGGAGGGATGGCTTTATGTCACTTAACTGCCTACTACGCTAACTAGGTACTAGTACGAGTTTGGAAACTGCCTCTCGATGGTACGGTGGATTACTACGCACGGGGCCCGGCGGAGAGGGACAGGGTCTAAATGCCAAGACTTTATCTGACCCTTCAGAGCCGGTAGTCCCGAAGTAAGCTGACCTCTAAAATCGCGCCAAAGAAGACCGGCCTTGACAAGTGCTTACTCGGCCCAAGTGTGGATTCTGAGCCAGTACTTGTATCTGCCCTCTTTTTTCTACTCTTCGTGTAGGCATCAGACGCTGAGTTCAATAATACTTACTAAGCGGTTGACTAGCTTCCAAAGTATGATCAGGTGCAGCGTATAAGGGCTAAGGAGTGAAATAGTGTGATAAACAAATAACTCTTGCAAGTCCAAAGATGCCAATATATTATCTTAAGATATTATTACTAATCTTTTTGATTTGCAAGATATCTACTTTCAGATAAGAAATTACAGCTTGCTTGCTTAATTATTACATAGCTAATATCTAAGATCTAATATATAGATATTTTTATAGTATCTATAAATATTAAAAGAAATAATCTAGCTTTTATAACTATTTTTGTGGCATTTTCGTGCTTGCCGAAGTTCTGCTGTGTGTCCGGCTTCCGTTTCTCATACTGTCTACAGGTATTCTTCGGTCTTGCCGTCTTTTCTCCTTATTTTTTCAACAATAAATTATATTAATCTTATTATATTCATATCTTCTATATACTACTATACCTAATAGCATGTTATTGTTTTAACAGTCTAAAATATTATTTCTATAAATTAGCTGTTATGTTATTTTTTAAAAATACTTGTTTATTTATCTATTTATATTTTTATATTTTTCTGTTTTGTTGTATTCGACTTTTCGAGTGATAGTGCCTTCACCCACCGCCTTCAGGCCGGCGAGGTCATGTAGCTAGTCTAGCTAGCGAACTATAGAAAAATTAATTATCATATTATACAATATCTACCAGCAAAAGAGTCTGAAATAGGGTTGGCTTTAAGGTTGCTGATACACCTCGCTGCGGCCTCTATACTAAACCATAAAGTAGAAATACTAACAGAAAGTAAACTGTAGGCTATATTTTTTTTCCAGCAGGTCTAAATAGGCTTAAGAATTTAATACAGACTTCTGATAATAAGGTGCCTTTATACATCCAGAACCTATAAGATTTTTTTATAGTTTAACCATCTTTTCTTTGCAAACTTATATTATAACAGAAGTATATATATAATATACTTGTTAAATATTAGGCTTAAAGCAGATTCTGGCATGTGCCTTGGTTATTTGCAGGGCTTGCCCGGATTCTGAACAGTCTTAGGGCAAGATTTTTAATTAATATCTTAGAATATTTTTATATTACTTAGTGTTTTAGAAGGTGTACCACCGCCCAAAGTAACAGGTGTTCTAAAACTCTTAGAATTTACTTTTTTTATAATATTAAAGGGATTTATATACTGGGAATTATCTGCCCCAGTCAATAGTAGCCTAGCCAAAGCTACTGCACCATCTGGAAATACTATAAAAAAATAATTAAAAATAGATTAATAAAAAGTTTTAAAAAATCTTATTTATCTATACTGTATTTATATATACAGCAAAAAGACCCTTAAACAAACTAAAGTACTTATATTTATTATTTGTATTATATAGGCTAGCTGTTATTACATTGAAATTGTCTCTGTATCAGAAACTACTTGATACAGTAGATACACTGGTTAGGCAAGGCAAGCAAAATAGCCTAAAAACAGTCTTCTATTAATTTTAAAACTAATTCTTAAAAAATCTTCTTCTTTAAAGGATTCTAAGACAATATATTATATATAAAGGGAGGGGTAAGTAATATAGTAATATAAATACCCAGATTAAAAGTCTAGCAAATTAGTACAGATTTAAAAGTAGACTACTATAATAGTAGATATAGATTACTGTAGTAGAAGATATTATATAATAATTATACTTTTTTACTAAATTAGACTACTTAGTACAGTAGTATAGTTGCAAATAGCTTTATTACTTACCTTAAAAATAGTAGGGTTTGATATTATAGCAGTAGAAGGGTTATGTTGTAGTATTACACATCATATAGATGGGGGATTTGGTAGTTCTCCTTATATTTAGAAATAAGAATTTTTCTACTGCCCTAACTTTTTTTTTGCTTTCTGTAGCTTTAAATTGCCTGCTGGGTATTATTTATAGATTCTTTTAAAATCTATTTATTATATTTACTTAGCTAGCCTGTTTATTTAACTAGAAAATACTGCTTATTTTTAAAAATTTGCTTATTTTTAATATTTTTAATTTTAAACTTTTTTTTTTTTTTAATTCTGGGGATTAGAGTTGATTCTGTAATACAGTACCAGACTTCTACTATTTTAATAATAATATATAAAAAATATTATAGATTTAACTGTAGTATTTAGATAAAAAGATTTAATATATTTATTTTTTAATAGCTGCTAAAACCTTTAAAGGTCTAATATATTATAAAGCTAGCTTTTAAAAAAAAGCCTTAATTTTTAAATTTTTAATAGATAATTTTACCAGATTTTTTTTTTTAAAAGTTATTAATTTATACTTTTAATTGTAGTGTTTTTTTTATACTTTATTAGCTTTTTATTAATAATTTTATAGATTTTTTTATAATACAGCTAGCTTATTAATTTAATTTTTAGCTGTAGAGATCTTCCTCTGGAAAGTACTAATCTTAGTATAAAAATAAAAATTAGATAAATAGTTTAAAAAAGCTTTAAAAAAAATAGCCAGTAGTAGAGTTTAGAGTATTATTATATATAAATTAAACAAATAGTAACAGAGCAGACCAGTTAAGTTAATTTTAATTAATAAAATATTAAAAATATTATTTAAAAGTCTAGTTTATTTTTTTAGTTTAACTATTAGTTTAAGATTAAAATACTGTTAATAATTAGAGTTTAATCTATATATAGTATATAACTTAAAACTAAAATTTACTAGTAAAAAAAAAACCTTTATACAAGATTATACCCTATAGTAGTTTATATTAAAGTTTAATCTTTCTATAAAAAAGTTTAGTAAGTTCTGGAGTAGTTATAATATATAAAATAGGTAGAAATTAATACTACTTTATAAACCTATTAATAATAATAAAAATTAAATTCTAAATATTATCTTTTATTATAATAGAAGATAGATTTATAATAAAATCTATAAATAGTTTAATAAAAGGTTGGCTAGAAATTAGCAGAGATTTAAACTTACTATAGGACTTATATTTAGTAAATATAATTTTTTAATAAAAAAAATACTTTTTAATATAGATAACCATATCTTTATAAAGGTTTATCTAATAGAATTTTTTTTTAAAAAAGCTTTTATTTTTAATTATCTAAAATAGTCTACTAGCTAATTATTATAATAAAGCTTTAGTAAATATTACTAAAGGCTTTCCCCTATAAAAATATATAAATAATACTTATATATAATAAGATTATTTTTATTAATTTTCTAATATTTAAAGCCAGGGTTACCTTATAAAACAGCAAGTTTTTAATAATATATTTTTATATCTTTATTTTAAATTTTTTTAATTAGAAAATATAATTTTTTATTAATTTTAAAATATAATAAGTTTTTATACTTATATACTTAGAATACTGCTGATATATTAATATATTTATTATAAAATAATTTTATTTTAATAGTTTAGTTAGCTGTTTCTATACCGGCTTTCTAGTTTTTTTAATTTTATTAAAAGCTTAATACTATACAGGTACTAAGTTTAGGGCTTTTTTATAAAGATATTTTATTATATTTAAACTAGAATTTTATAAAAATTAGCTAAGTTTTTATTAAAAATTTACTAGTTATTTAATACTATATTAATTTTAGAATCTCTATATTAAGTAGGATTTTTAAATTTTTTTTTATTTTTAATAGCAGATTGGTAGGGTTGCATCTGCTAAGCTAATATTAAATAATAAAATTATAACTATTAAAATATATATATTATTAAATCTAATAGCTGTTTAGCTTCAGCTGCTTTATAAAAGTCTAAAGATTTTAATAGTCTAAAAGAATTTTAATAGTATATAATAGTCTTTTAAAATATTAATACTAATATTTAAATAAATAAATAATAGTAAAAAGCTTTTAATCTGGGATTAAATAGTAAGTTTTAGTACTATTAAACTTCTTTAACTAAAATATAATAGGATAGTATATTTTATAGTTATCTAGCTGAGATAATATCTTTATTATACTTTATTAAAAAGTATTTATTTTTATCTAGATCTTTTATTAAGAGTTAAAATATCTTAATAAAAATATAGTTTTAAAATTATAAAAAAGCTGTTAAAATACTGCTGTTTTTTTATTAGTTAAAACTACTTTTCTAGGCTTTTTTTTATTTTAGATGCTTTTTAAAAGGAAAGTTAGTAGCAGCATAATTAAAAAGTAGTTTTTAATAAAGTACTAATAAAAATTATAAAATTCTAAAAATACTTAGATTTTACAGAATATTATTAGTATTAGTTATATAAAAATATTAGATATCTATTAAAAATCTATTAATATACTATATAAAAATATAACATATTCTAAAAATTTAATATAATTCTAGTAAAAAGTATATTTAGATTATTTTATATAAAAATCTGCCTTTTATAAGTATTTTAATACTTAATAAAAATAAAGGGTATAGAAAAAGTAGTTTTTTAAAAAAATAAAAATATTATTTAAATAAATAATACAAAAGATGTCTAAAATATTATAAAAAGTTAAATAGATATAGTTTTAAAATATAGCTAAAGTATTAATTAATCTAAATAGTATAACTAGATATTTAAAATATCTATAATAGATTTAAAAGGCTGTTTTTTATTTATCTTTTTATTTAATATAGATTTAATAATATATATTTTAAATATCTAATTTTAAAAAGTATTTAGCTTCTGCAA